TTCACACGCGTTACACACTATATTTTTTCTACGACTGCGAAATAACTAACTATATTCACATTGGAATTTATTTATTTATTTTTTTGTTGAAAAATTATTATTTGAAATTATAATCAACGAACAATTTTGGTACGTACAGGGTGATCTATTATAAATGTAACCTGCTAACTTTTTCATTTGACATTTTTGACAGAAGTGTCAAATACAAAAGTTTCAAGAAATTGTCGAAAGTTATTAACTAAATCAGTTTTAGGCATAGAGGGTGCGTCAAAAAAGTTCAGCAGTGTGAAGTTATATTTTTTTAAATAGAACACCCTGTATATTGTGCGCCTATTTGTTAGTCCCCTTTAACCTGATTTCAACGATATATGGTTTGATATGTTTATCCCTCAGTTTATCTCCAATAGTTATAGGGAAAAACGCGAAAATTCCTTCCTAGGTCTCTCATGTTATTTTTTTTTTAAATAATAATAATAGCTTAGACATCTGGATTTATTATAATATTTCACCTTGTATATTAATGAATAAAATTTGAACAATAAACTGATAATAAAAAAAATTCTATAAAGCTTAAATGGTATAATTTTCCTTTTTTCAATATGAAACCTTAAAAGGGGTTTTCATGTTTTTCCCTATAACTGTTGAAGATAGACATATCAAACCCTATATCGTTGAAAACAGGTTAAAGGGGACTAACAAATAGGCGCACAATATACAGGGTGTTCCATTTTAAAAAAAATAACTTCACGCTGCTGCACTTTTTTGACGCACCCTGTATGCCTAAAAAACTGACTTAGTTAAAAACTCTTGACAATTTCTTGAAACTTTTGTATTTGATACTTCTGTCAAAAACGTCAAATGAAAAAGTTAGCAGGGGGTTACATTTATAATAGATCACCCTGTACGCTGAATGCACTCGGAGTTGCTTGTAGATAAAAAATTCAATGGAAGTGTAATTTTTATTTTAGCGTGCGAAAAGTACTTTTCGCACGCTGTGCGAAATAATCGATTTTCTAGGTAAGTTAGTAGTGCGTTTTTAATAGCTTTCTAGGCAGTCGTAGGAAAAAAAAATTACCGCACTTAACCGCACGGCTGTCAAAAAAAAAAGAAAAAGAAAAATTCTACATTTTTACGTCTGTAGGAAAAATATTGTACCTAACACTTGCGGAAAATATTTTTCCCTCGATTTTTCCGCACTAGGCGGCTTCACCGAACTCCGCTACGCGTCGTTCGGTGAACGGCAGCCGCTACGAAAAAAATTCATTTTCCGCACTTGTTAGGTCAATAGCTATTTTGATTGTTTCCGTACATAAAGTTTCGTGTTTAGTTGGAGTTTTTTCGTTTTTTATTTTTTATATTATTTTAGTTTATTCTTCTAAGTGTAGGCAATACCGCAAAAAGGATGGAAAGTGCCAGGACAAGTGCCAATAAGAGAAGGTCCAGATTTGTTACCAAAAAACAAAACGAGCTTTTGGTCGAATTTTTGAACAAATATTCGGCCTTTCGTCGGAAACATTTTTGAACTCCTTTTTATGGAAGGAATCTCGAAACATTCTTTCGAAAGTCGGAAGTTTTTTATAAATTCTCCATCATTATCTAAGCATTGTTAATGCATGCATCCATTCTTGGATTTCTTAAGCCTTAGAGGTTATGGTTATATAATTCGGCCCTTTCTAGAGTATTTAAAATAACGATATTTTCGAATTCCATGATGTCAAGAATATTCTTTGTCGTCGACCAAACTGAAATTTTTAAGAAAGTTTCGCGTGCAATTTGGAAATGCATGAGCTCTAGAGGTGACGCATGTCAAATGCAATTTTGTGTCGACGAATTTAGCGTTTCAAATAAGCCACATGTGCATTTTTTTGAATTTCACCGCTAAAAATTGCGACTTAGTCAGACTTATTTGAATTGCACGTTTCAAATAAACCCCCCCAGTCATTTAAAACCGAGATTCAAACGGCCAGCCAAATATTAGTTCAATGACTACACCGCTATGGCAGCACCGTCGGAATTGTCACTTGAGAACTACAACAGTGAGTGAGTGAGTGTTCTATATCACGAATATAAATCACTTTTCTATGATCAAAACTACCAGAAATATATTGGTCGCTAAGCGACTAGAAATTAAAATAGTGACTGGTATCGCTGTCAAACTTGTAATGATATACATTACAGACTTCCCAGAATCTCCATATCATGATTTTCAAGTACATGACGAACCTGTAATTAAAGCATCCGACAAGCTCAGTCAGTTACAAAATGAAGAGATAGAAATTTAGGACCAGTTACAGAAGACTAAATGGACTTCATTGCATTATCAATGCCTAATCAACAACACGCTGGTATATGTGCTACTATTGCTACTTAGCTGTCACCGCAGTATTGATAGGCCTCACATGTTATATGTTTCGAAAAAAACAAAATATACTTAGATCTTGCTCACGAACTGAAGACCCTAACGAACATGGTATCCTCCTACAGCCACTGCGTCTAACCTGAAGCTCCTTTCGAACAAGGCACGATTTCTGAATTTCGGTGGGCAGAATGTCCAATCTTAAAATTAGACATAGTTATCATTACATTATGAAACTATTTTAGGTTTAAATATTCATCCATTTAAAATGACTCACTTTAATAATTTATAATATAAGCTTTTAATTAATAAAATAATGTTTAAGATATTGTGAGTCAGCATACACACCGCATCTGCAAACGGTAGCAAATTTATTCATTGAAATTGGTACATCAACCTTCAGTTAATCCGTCACATTGTTAGTATAAATAGTTATAGTTTTTGAATAATAAATCAGTATTAAATTACATCTTGGTTTTTACTCAACCCCAAACCATAGATCATCGAGCAGAAAGTTAACTAAGGAAAACTTTCCTCAAGGAAAATACACCAAAAGGGTATTGTTTCTTCATGGATCTTAATGTTCTCAAATGCAAGGACATCAAATTCCATAAGTTTAGAAACTTTAATAATTTTGTCTACCACATTGATGACAGTCCATTAGTTTGCGTGGATCAAATTGAAGACTTAGGTGTGCTATCAAGCTTATATTTAGATTTCTCAGCTTATATTGCCAACGCAATTAACAAGGCTTTACGCATATGTACTTGGCTTTGTGAAGTGCAGCACAAGCGCCTTTTCGACCATCAATGCCATTAGAACTTCAGTATGATGTCCTAATCATGCATGCCATATTCATCAAATTGAAACTGTTCAGAAAAAATTATGCAGATACATTAACCCCAAATTTTACGACAATAATGAATTTAATTATTCTAACTTCTGCACATCATTACACTCAACAACTCTCTCCTGCAGAAGAAAGCAGAGAGACCCAATGCTAATTCAAAAAACTCATAAACTTTAGTATAGATTGTCCCTATTCAACTTCCAGAATTGGATTACATGTTCCATCCTCGAACACTCGTACAAAATATCAATCAACAGTTTCACAAAACTAATTATGCTTATCACTCGACACTCATTTATTTCTCGTACCCTCAGATTGCGTAATGAATTATTTGAATTATGTAAATTGGCTTGACACGTCAATAAATAAATAATATATTCGTTATAATTTCAATCAAAAGTTTGTATGAGTAATACCTAAGTATGACAATGAGCCAATAGATCGATAGTTTTCAATATTGGTGTTGTCGTCTTTTCTGTATGTATATCATTTTTCATTCCATATGGTGGTCGAAACTGTCGAAAGAAATAAATGTTATTCAAATTCTAACAATTCAAAAAATTAGAAAAAAATTATTGTAAAAAAAATAATGAAGATTCCGAATAATGAGAATTTTAGAGTGTTTAATAATGTGTGGAATGAGCAATTGATGTATAAGTCCATAAATTACAGCTCAATGTTTGTGATTCTTGTAGCAACTTCCCAATTTTATGTTGTTTTTTTTCTGTGTCTGAACTTGACTAGTTGAGTTCCATTGACCTTTTTCTTTACTTTCTTGTACATAGTACTAATGATGAAGTGTAAGCCAGAAGCGCTTTAGTATGATAAACTATATAAATAATAAAATTAGCATATTATACGAAGTTCCCTCTCCTTCAATCACAAAATATAAAGTGGAAAAACATGGTCACTCCACATTTTTGGAACTTGTATCGAAATCCAATCCTGAAAGTTTCTTTTCAACTTTTCGGAAGTAGATTAGAAAGTCATTTTCAATTGGCAGCCGAGCATAAGAACAACTATCTAGCCGATGTTCTTACTTTCTATTCCGCTCAATATCCCTGTGAAACTTTTCTTCTGCTGGATCAAAAATTATCAGGTGCAGTAAATACCAAATTTGACATAAAAGCGGGAGGAGATTTTATTATTTGTTTTCGTTCATTTTATGAACGTTGACAGGAAAACTCTTGTTTAATGTATGATGTATCTCTGGAAAAGTTAATTGAAAAAATTTCATTATTTGTCTTTCACTTCATATATGGGGCTAATTTTCTTTTCCAGCTGAACTTGAATGCTAAAAGCTTTTTTTTTTTCAGTAGGTTATTTGCTCTTCGTCTCTGGCTTTTAAATATCACTCGAGCCCCAACCGCATCGGTCCTTCAAATATACGCAATGCACTAAATTCAGTCATAAATTGAGCTTATGTAAATAGCTGAAATCTGAAAAGCTGTCGCAGCAATCTGCCAGAGCGCCAATAAATCCGAAAAGTCTATTTTTCTCGGCTCGTATAAAGTAAGTATCGTATCGGTGACGGAAAAACTCATTTTTCATATTTTTTGGAATGTCATTAATATGTCCTTTTTCCTGTTAAAAGGGCATTATAAAAAGAGACAAGGGTATTTGAATACAGGTAGTACAAAATGGGTCGTTTATAAGAAAAGGTTTTTTATGTATAAATAAATCTTACTTTATGTTGGAAATAAAAATAAATATGATTGATGACAGAATGAATATTTAAAAAAATATTTTATGAAATTAATCTTGAACTAATTGGAAAATAATTGTAGTTTTTACCTTCTTTCAGTGCTTTATAGCTGTCTTCTTTTCGGCAGGCTTTTGACGCTTTTAGAATTTCGAATTCGACGCAGTATCTGAAAAAAGAAACATTAGTAAATATTGGATCGATCCATATTTGAAAAAATAAATAAAAAATAGGGTTATAAGAAATAGTCACAAGCAATTTTTGCTAATGTTGGTGAATTGACCATTGACTTATCATAATAAAAGTAAACTAGATATTTAACTATTAGATCATGATAATGTTACAAAATTTGAAATTATTATAACGTTTAACCATCTGAAATATACAAAGCCCATATTCGTGAATATTATATTCCACAATCGTAGTTTTAACATTACTAAATCATATGCCCCACATTAGTTAAAAACTGATTTCAATAATTCCGGAATATGTAAAGTCATAAATTGTGCAAACAATAACTAAAATTACGCGTTCCAAAATTAATTATGGTAATAGAGTTTTAGCATAATTTTTTTGTTCATTAATTTGTTGTTAATTTTGATAGATATATTGGACTTTTAATGTAAATGTAATAACCTACATTGAATTAATTAAGGAATTTTGATGTATACGAGTGGTAAAAAAGTCGCGCAGAGAAAATTAACTCACTCGCTAGGGGTCGTGGGTTAAACTTTCTTCTCATGAATAAACATTCATTTAACTAACTCACTTGGTGTATAAATTACTATTTTTCAAGCGTTATAATTCATAAATATATGATACCCTCCTTACTTTTTGAAGTGAAAGGGTCTTGAAGCGCGTTCAGCACACTTTTTTGTGGGTACTGAATGAAACTGAGCTGTCACGCTTGGCTATGTAACGCTCATTCGGGTATAGTCGGCCCGACTCGACTTTTGCTAAGCGACCCAATAAACAATTTTCGTTACTTATGGTAACGTCTAATTATATAAAGGATATATACGAGGAATAAATAGTGCTTTTAGTACATAAAGGTTTTCTAATATCTCCCAACCTCTAGGTATATAACTAGGTGACATAAATATTTCAATTACCAAGTTATGAATCCTATAGTAACCATTAATAATAGGTATATGAGAAAATTTTATACATTTTGCGGTTACCTCTTTATATAACTTTTCGTTTCCTAGTTATAAAACGGTGATAATTTCTGCCTTTATGAAAATAAAAGTAATCGACGAGTCTTTTATAAATTTTTGTTGCTGTAAGGATCCTTTATATAATTCATAGGGGATATAATAATAAACAAATTGAGCGTGCCCTGCTGCGGGTATTTCGCGTAATCGCCTAACCCTAATTTACGAATTTTAATTGGTCAGAAATATGGATAAAGCTGTCACCTGCCACTTTTAGACCAGTTATGTTGGGTGACGCGATTGGGCCAAATACGTCATGGGAAACCTGCATGCGCAACGTGTAATGATGGGTGATGTAAATGTTTCCCACATATTATTATTGAACTATAGGTTATTTGAAGTGGGTGTTGTAAAATATACAACCAATATATAACTAAAAATGTTTATTGGGGACAGCGAGAGAGAAACAGTCATTTTTATTTAAAGTAATTTTTTACAATGTAATAGAGTGTGTTCTTATTATGTAAATGTGACAGACATTGTTGTTTTATAAAGACATAATCTATTAGTAAATATATTATATACCTAGGTAGAGAAATTGGTCATTATATACCGAACGCTTTTGTGACCCGAGGCGCGAAGCCCCGAGCCTTATAATACGCAAGATACCTATGCAATGACTTTCTCTACCGAGGCATATATTCTGTGCTCAAATTATTTTTTCTGAATACCCTCTCGAAAGTGCTGCCCTCTATCAACAGCTCATGATGATTTCTTATGTATACAATGTGTATAAAAAATAGTGTACCGGACTTTGAGGGGTTATACTACATATGAAAATAAGAAAAAAAGTTCCTATGAACATATGCAATAAGATGCTTTTTTGTTTTGTGAGTAACTACCCTCTACTCTTATGGAAAATACCCTTTCAGAACTGTTAACGACAATAGATAAAATCTATTACTTTCATCTACCGTTTGAAGGGCTGTAACTTCTTCAGGAAGCATCTTAGGGCATATGTTCATAGGAACTTTTTTTCTTATTTTCATATGTAGTATCACCCCTCGAAGTCCGGTACACTATTTTTTCTACACCCTATATACAGAAACTTGTTTTTTTTTTTTTCAATTTACAATTTGAAACTGAAATGAAACCAATAGAAACCTGATACGTCATGACAATATCCTTGCGTCATGACGTCATTTTCATTATTGACCTAGGTTTTTTTTTATTACATATCATTATTCACGGGAGAGAAATTCAATTTTCACCTAGAAAAATAGATTGAATAATGACTTATTCTCAAGTTAGTAGTGAAAAAAATATCTATAGCAACTAGGGATGTAAGCCAATTTTTCTGATATAACCTCATGTCACAGTCAAAATGAAAATGACGATCATGTCATTTATTTTTATGGCACTCTTGTCATTTATTTTTTATCGATTAAATTTTCTGACAGTCAAAATAATAACTAACCGTCATTAAAATATATGACCGTCATTGAAATATATGACAGTGTCACAAATATCAGCTGACTTTCGATTCTAACTGTCAATCTTATAGAGGAGATGGAAGCTGTACTTTCTATTTCATTAGATGACGTTGATGCTGATGACTGTAAAACTAAAGCAGAACTTTAGTCAACCAATCAGATATCTGATTATTGATTTAAGTTATGTTATGTTCTACATTGACAATGAATGACCCTAAATGACAATATATGACAAAATTGACAAAAAAATGACTGTCACTTTTCACAAAAAATAAATGACCGTCATTTTACATCCCTAATAGCAACTAGATTTCAATCAAAAGTATTCATCACATCTTTTAGGGCCGATTTCTCAATAGCAAGTCACTACAGTGTAAACATTGCAAATGGACACGTTCACCCTGGAGTTAAAACCAATCCGGAGGTGACTCGATATTGAGAAACCGACAGTTACGATGAAGCTATTATTTCATTTTTAGAATATGATACAAAAGGAGATCAATCTGGGCAATGAATAATACAGAGTGTATCAGTTTTAATCATTATGATATCTAAAAAAAAAATGATTTAATTTAAATATTAAGTAATTATGCATTTTTAGTCAACAATAATTAAAAATTGGAAAAAATAACATGATAATATCACTCGTAATTTAGTTTCTAAACATCTGGCAACATAGCACAAAAAAAGAATAGATGCTTCAGTTGAACCGATAAATAATTCATGCTTTGTCTTGTCAGTTACTTGAAGTAAGAATTTAAAATACCTACGCCTAATTTATTTTTGTTTGAAAATAACATATTTACAAATGTCGAATCTACGCGTTAAGGTGGGCACAAACATGCGGTATTCGGCGAGTCTTGAATCACAAATATTTGCTATTCGGCAAGTAGCGATTAGTGTGTATGGGTTGCTCGGGCATAATATAGCGAATATTTGCCCGAACAACCCATACACACTAATCGCTACTTGCCGAATAGCAAATATTTGTGATTCGAGACTCGCCGAATACCGCATGTCTGTGCCCGCCTTTACGCGAATCTTGTATTAATACTCTAATTTCTTATTGGGAACTTTCTGCGCAGTGTATTCTGTCTTCAATGAGGAACTTGCATATGAAATAACAATTATTACATTTCATCAAATCGACAAATTTTTCAAATCTATTCAAAAATACAATCTTTATAAATGTTTAAAAATGATGTTGCCATCTCTGTCTTACTCGAACTAGCTTGTGGCAATACTACTAAATGACGTCACATAGTATTAGTATTTTTAAACTCAATTTATAAACTCGCCGTCGGGATTCCGTTTGCGTCGGCCTCGCTGGTTATCGTAGTCTCTATGCTGACGGCGAACTGTGATGCCGACTACGAGTACAACCGATCTTATGGGATTTCTAATATTCAATTGGTAACGGCGTACTCGACGCAAGCGCAAACGCAAACGGAATCTCAACAACGACTTTATAGATTGAGCTTTACTCCTGTAAATTTGTTAATTTTGAAGATATTCAAATTTTTTCAGATCAGTTCCAAACGGTTTGAGGAATGAATTCAAAAACTAAAAAAAAAAATAGTCAAGTTCGCTGTTATGGTGATGAGTGATAAGCGTGATAAGTGATAAAAATGCAAATTATTATTTACATAAAAGTGAATAATGAACCAAAACCAAGGACACAGGTGAAAATAAACTCGTTATAAAATAGTATATTATATACCTAGGTAGAGAAGTTGGTCATTATATACCGAAAGCTTTTATAAACCGAGGTTTATAATGCTTGAGGTATATAATGACTTTCTCTACCGAGGAATATATAGAATTTTTTTTACTACTGCTAGTAGAAAATAAAAAAATTGTTTAAAATCTGTGTTCTAATTATTTTTTGTGAACGCCCTCTTGATAGTGCTGCCCTCTATCAACAGCTTATAGAACTTGCTATGTACCTACAGAAACCTGTATTTTTTTTTCAAATTGACGTATAAAATTGAAATGGAACTGTGGCCGGTTTGCGGCGGGCAAATAAGGCGCACTGATCAACTTAATTAATCTACTGTTTATTTATGCCAAATACAAAAATAAAACATCGGTAAAAATGAAAAAATAGAAATTGTTCGGGCGTGTTGTTTTATTATTCGAGCGGGCGTCGGACTTGTGTCAGTCATCAGCTGGCCGGGACTCGGAGACAGTTGACGTTCCTACCGCTGGTGTACCGCGTTGCCGCTCCATTTGCATGGTTGCCAACGGATCTGGGGCGGACATCCGCCACAGGGCTCCCCCCCAGTGAGGGACCCTCTGGTTGCGAACGGTTCTGTTGGCACGTGTTGAGGAGCAGGCGGTTGGCATATGCATGTTCTTCTAACACCTGATGAGACGCTGGAACGTATGCTGGTTTGAGTCGGTCCATCGAGACTCGCTGCGGGGCATTCTGGACGTCCACTGTCAAGAATTTCTCGTGACGTTCCAGTACTCTGAACGGGCCACTGTAGGGGGCTGTTAGCGGCGGCTTGACTTTGTCGGTA